CCTTTAATTAAAAACACCATCCTTTGTATCTGGGAGATTTGCTGACCCATACAGGAGAGTGGGAGATTTGGTCGCTATGGGTGACTCCTGGATAATCCCGGAGAGTCGGCATAGATTCACATAGAAATGTACCTTACCCGAGATAAGAATTAAGGAGGGGCTTAATGGGAGAATGAACTTCTTGGGACCTAAACCATTCTGTATATGTAGATAGAAACACCATATGTAAACTAATTATTATTTTAATTGTATCTATAATGAAATTCTCGATTGTGATTGGTTCTCCGCACGCCCATTAGTCACATAATCAGTGCGCAATCACGTGGGTCTCCAGTTATAGGTATCCAATTTGAACTCTCTGTAATTGGATACCTGCAATTGGATACCCACATGATTTGCACGTCAGTTATGTGTGCTTTAATGGCTTCCGTCGCAATGTTTCCTGCATTTTTCAAAACTTATGAAAAGTGCTACAGACATTTTCGCTGAAAAGAAGTCCTCAAAAGACATTTAAAATTCCAAAATTTGTTATAGATACGATTAATTAGTAACTGGACTTCGTGTTGTACAATTCAGAGAGTAATTGTGCTTGTAATTTCAAATCAGCCTCATGCTTCTTGCTCGTCCGATTTTGAAATTACTTGTGCTATTACTCTAATTTGCTTTCACTATTACTCTAATTTTGCTTTAATCTAGATTGCTGATGAATTCACTACAGATATTTCAATCTCTTACCTCTGACTAGTTGAACCCTGATCTTCCTCCATACACTTGCCTATCTCAGCAAGCCATTCATCCATCTCTTCTTTCTGATTTGCAGCTAACATGTACTCCCTCTTGTTCACTGCCTAAGAGTTTAATACAATTTACCCAATTTAGCACTTATTAAAAAGAATGTTTACTAATACTCCACAGTACAAGACACTACACCTTATGATAATCAAGGGTCGGTCTTCTGTTGCAGCAACAGGTTGCATTCACATTACCAAACTAAGAACTGTGTTTCCAAATTCAAATCTACTCAGTTCATTTAAGGTGCAACTTACATTTTCAATTTCTATTTATAAAATAACTGAGCTACTACGTGCACTATCATTGGTTGATAAGTGTGTTTAGATAAGAGTACGTAAACAAAGTTGAGACGCTTTAGATTTGCGCGTATTTTTTAGAATTATTTTATAAAAGCAATAGAGCACTTTTTCCGTGTTTACATAGCCTCATCTAAACACTAGGAGGGTTGGGAGAATTCTCAAAAGTTATACAAACCTTCGACTACATCTCGGGTTTGCCTCACTGTCTTGAACTCTCCCCGCCCTCCACATTCTCCTCAAATTCTCCTCATCCTCCTCTCGAAAGTTATCGAAACCTTTGACTACATCTCGGGTTTGAATACCTGTCTTGGATTCTCCCCACCCTCCTCGTGTTTAGATGAGGCTCTGTAAACACGGAAAAAGTGCTCTATTCCTTAAGTGCAGTTCCAAGGTTGTGAACTCAACCTGTTGCTCATTTCCCACAGTCAGTTGGGAAAAATTCTGACCAATTTCTTCAAAAAGAAAACGGTGGAAACCGTTATGTCTTCCTTTGCTTCCCAAACAGGGATGAATGCTGGCCTAATAGGCGATGCACTGGAGCACAGATCAACCAGCCCAGGTGTGAGCCCTGACCAGAGTTATTGGGTTGTGTTTTTCAGCAAGATACTCTCAATCTGCTCCCATAGAACAAGGATAGGGATAATCCTGTAATAGTTGGACTTACCTGTTACATACATGTACACAATACACACCTTGATAACAAATACATTTTCTCCGCCTGGTAACTCCAACTCCGTCGCAGGTCTTGCTTCGTGAATAAGGAAGCAAAATATTCCTGTCTTTGGCTTTGGTGACTGAAGAAAAATAAATTAATCTTAAGATAAAATTCTGACTGAGAGCTTGACCTCACTGCCACTGTCAAATATCCGCAATCTCGATCACCTGTAGCAGTGTTCTCATTTCTAATTTTTTTTCGTCATTTGCAGCAACAAGGATGTAAAATAGCTAAGTGTGCTAATCCCCTTAAGATTGTATCAATTACCTACACGAAGGAATGTGAGGGAAATTATAGGAGATGTTTGCAAAGGGGAATCGTGTATGTACCACTTATGAACTCCTTGGGGAAACCTCTGTCCCTGGGATTTGTGCTCAAGTTGGGGACAAGTGGTAGGAGGAAATAAAATTGATCACTTCCTTGAAGGGGTACATCCTGGTAACAGTCTGGTCTGCATTATTCAAAAGGTGGATATCATTATCCGCTGGACAAATCACTATCCAGTGGATAGCAAGGTTTGTTTTGTTAACCCTTATCCACCGGATAGCGATTTATCTGTTGAAAAGCGGTATCCACCCTTCAAACAACTGGGGCCTGTGGTTTCAAATTCTCTGAAGGGTGCATACCAACTTTCTGAAACTTGCATGGTGGAAACAAAAATTAATGCACAGTCATCTAAAGCATAATTAAATTATCTTTCCCGCATAATTAAACAATATTATATCAGTAGGCACCTCATAAGCTCAATGTATCATGAAAATGAAAATAAATAATAACAACTTGGGTTATAACAATCCTCCAAACAAAAACATATTTTCAACCCAATTTACATAAGCTCATAGTCTAAAAAGAAAAACTAATAAATTAATCACTTTATGGGAAATAGATTGCCTATTTTCTCAGCTCGGCCAATAGTTATTTTATCATAATGAAGATCAAGGAAGTGATCCGAGAGTCTACTTTAAAAAATGGACTTTTCCGCGTTTAAAACCACACGGTGAACAGAATAAAACCGCACAGCTGACGTCGAGGGGATTGTTCGTCGGTGTAAAATTGTGATCAAAAGCCATCCATGCAAAAAGTTGTAAACAAGAACACTTCGATATCAAAAGGCTGTCGGTTTGGTTGCCGAATTATCTCCCTCAACGACCTCAAGAAACAAAACAAACATACCGGCTACATTGCGAATTAATCAATCGATAAGCAGGCAACGATAGCCTTCCAGCTGTCGCTAGCAGGATAAAACTGAAATCCCCGTCATAAATTACAGTGCAACGAACGCGAAGGATTAACTAAAATTGGAAAATTTTGTTACCTTTGGTGGCGTGTAAAATTCTAGCATGTATCCGCCAGGTGCTTTGAACAAAACAACTCGACATTTCTGCCAGAAAAAGTCCTCCGTGTTCACGCCACTTTCTAAGTTCATCAAATACCTCATGATCCCTTCTCGTTTGACAGTAGTTGTCAGTTTCGCTTCTTGTAAATGTACCACTCTCTGATCTTCGTGATCCCTCCTCGAGTCCGCTTGTTTCGCCGGACCCAGCTCATCATTCACGTTGCGTTTGAAAAAACCTTTTACGTCCTTGAGCTTATCAAGAAACCTAAAGCTCGATTCTGTACTAGATTTCTTCTCTGGAGGCTTGAAGGTTCCCGTTAGGTGCACGCTGGAACCCCAATCATCCGGGCCGAAAACGTCGGTGGGCGAATCGGGTGCATCTAAATCCATGAATCCATCTTTGTGTACCTCGCTATCGAATGCTTGGAGAAAATACTCCACAAAACGCTTAGAGAACGTTGTAGAAGCTCCCGATACATCGTACACTGGGTTGTCCCTTAGAAACTGGAGAAATTCGTTCGCGAATTGACTCGCAGCAACTTCGGCCCTGTCCTTACAAAATTCTTCCCAGCGTCCGCTTGGAAATTTTGTACCGATCTCGCCATTGTAACAAGCCATGAAGGCAAAGCGATCCTAGCTGACCATTTTACGATGGTGTTTCGCGATGAACGGGCACTGTACACCAAACAGGCCGCATAAAATAACCATTTCCTTACCCTTTTGGTGACTCCAGATCAAGAAGTTCCTGATTTTGCGGAAAACTCCAAACAAGATGCGCAAAACGTTATCGAGAGCTGCGCGGTTCCTTTGCCTCACTTTCGAGGCACGATTAAATTTCTTTTCTTGATTTGTGCTTAGCTTTTGTTAATGAATCTCACTAGCACTGTGCAGTGCGAATCCATAAGCCAGGAGCAAAGGTTCTCACGGGCAAAGCGATCGGCAAAATGAAAACGAGTGAGATTCCGGAAGTCACGATTACGTCTGTATTCGCGGCCGTTTTCCGGTCCACAAAACGCCCTGATTTTATATTGGGCAATCACAAAAAAGCGAAATGTTTGAATTTTGGTAATGTATTATTTATAAAATGAAACCAGTCTGACATTGTCTCCGACAAAAAACTGAAATTAAGAATGAAATGATTATATAATATTAATGTGAAAATAGTTTCTTTATAGAAACACACTGTCGAAAAAATTTCAAAAGTTTATAATTCTAGCACTATAAACTTCTTGTTGCGGTGACTGGTATAAAATCAAAGATAAAATCATGAAAAGTTACACGATAATGTAAACAAACTAAACAAAGTAAATTTGTTACAACGCACAAAAAAAAAAAAAAAAAAAAAAA